CTTTCTTTCTTTCTTTCTTTCTTTCTTTCTTTCTTTCTTTCTTTCTTCCTTTTTCTCTTTCTTTTTTTTAATTATTTATTTATTTTATGACCTTTGATATTTAGCCTGCATGTGTGTGAGTGTCAGATCTTGGAGTTACAGACAGTTGTGAGCTACCATCTGGGTGCTGGGAATTAAACCTAGATCCTCTGGCAGAGCAGTCAGTGCTCTTACCCACTGGGCCATCTCTCCAGCCCTGTTAGCTTTTTTATACAGCCCAGGCTACCTGCATAGGGACGGTGCCACCAACAGTGGGCTGAGTCAAGAGAGTTCCTTACAGACATGGCCACAGGCTAGTCTGTGCAAGGCAGATTCTCTCTTCTCAGGTGACTCTAGGTTATTTCAAGGTTGACAATACAAACTAGTCAGGACTGTTTTGATTTTTAATTTTCCATCCACTACACTCTTCTGCTCTCCAACTGAACTACTGAAGGTGCTAGGTTTTTAATTTTTTTCCTTTTGAATCAGCTTCGGAGATTTGTGTATTTCAATAATTTGTTCATCTGTTATATGATTTTTTTGTACACAGTTGTTTACAGTATTTTCTTTTTTCATTTTTGAGACAGGACCACATATAGCCCATGCTGGCATCCCAAACTTGCTTTGAACCAAGGATGACTTTGAATTTCTGATCCTCTTTCCTTCACCTCTTAGGTGGCACTGCTACAGGCATGCATCAGCACCTTCCCACCCAGCTTATGTGGTGCTAGAGAAGGAACTTGGGACTTTTTGCATGCTAAGCAGATATTCTACCAACTGAGTTACATTCCAGACCCTGAGTGTTTTTTGAGTCAGGGTTTTCTGGTGTTGCTTAGGTAGGCCCTGAACTATGTTGTCTCAGCATACCCTATAGCTTGAACTACAAGCATAGGCCACCCCATCTAGAAGAACTGAAATTTTAATTTTGCAAATTTAAGTTATACATGGCTCCTAAACACCTTGGACAATACACAAATCTCATGTTTCATGTCATAAATTTTGCTTTGAAGAAACCTTAGTGTTTCTTCACATGCATCAAGCTTAAAAATAGTCTCCTGGCTGGCATCTCAGGATCATCTCTCTACTGAGGAATTCCTTATAGCTTTGTAGTATCTTGCTTTTCCTCCATTGGGAATATCCTTTTTGAAGAAACTACCATTGCTTATTTATGTTGATTAGCTTTTCATCACATGACAAATACCTGAGAAAATCAACTTAGTGGAGGAAAGATTCATTTTGGCTCATGATTTCAAAGGTTCAGTCCATGGCCAGCTTGATCAGTTGCTGTGGGCCTGGGTGAGGTAGAGCATCAATGACAGCAAGATTGTGTGGCAGACAATAACAAGAAGGGGCCCAGATGTATTCTTCAAAGGCATGACCCAGAAACC